GGGCAATCAATTCTTCTTTCAAAGCCACACTGACTCTGAATCTTTCCAAGTCATGAAATAAAGTGCCCGTGCTAATAACAGCTTTCAAGGTCTTCTCCCAAGGCAGATTGTTTTTCTTATTCATTCACAAGATATGGGCATCGCTGGCTAGGCAGCATTTATTGCCCATCCCTAATTACCCAGAGGGCAGTTAAGAGTCAACCACATTGCTGTGGGTCTGGAGTCACATGTAGGCCAGACCAAATAAGGATGGCAGTTTCCTTCCTTAAAAGGACATTAGTGAATGAGGTGGGTTTTTCCTGACAATCGACAACAGATTCATGGCAACCGTTAGACAAATTAATTCCAGATTTTTTTTAATACAAATTACTCTATCTGCTGTGACGGGTTTTGAACCTGGGTACCCAGAACATTACCTGGGTCTCTGGGTTAACAGTCCAGCGATAATACCACTAGGCCAGTGCCTCCCCTGGAGCCAACTGGCCTAAAAACTTTTATACTTTCTGCCTCCCTCTCTTGTTGCAAAACGTTTGCAATCTTCTAATCTAATGGAACTATCCTAAATCAACCGGGTTTTGGAAGATTAAAACAGATACGTTAACTTTCTCATTAACCACTTCCTTTAAGACTTAGGATGATGTTCATCAGGACTGGTCAGATGCAGCTCCAACAACTTGCTAAGTAGTACTGCCCTGCTTGCAATTTTTTTGGGAGTTCCTCCCTCCATTTCATTTCCTGATTTACAACTATTCCGGGGATGTCACTATCTTCTACAGCTAACACCGATGCAAAATACCCATTCAATTCATCTATCTCATTAATGCTCCAAATTCACTTTCCATAGATCAATTCTTATTTTGTTAACTCTTACTGTCTTTTATATTCCCACCTGGCTTCACTCATACTCCCTGTTTAAATCTTTTAGCCATTCTTTGCTGTAATGTACAGTGAGTTCAATCTTTTGCCTTGCCACCCAGCTTTTTCCTTTAGGTTGATACTATTGTTAACTGTTTTTAAGTTAGCCATGGATGTTCGGTCCTTCATTTGGAATTTCTCTTTTTGGAACTAATCTCGGTATTTTGAAATATCTTTAATTTCTGTCACTGCATCCATTAACATATCCTTTACCTACCTACAGCACATGCAATACATGGTTCAAGAATGTAGCTCATCACCACTATCAAGGAATGGGCAAAAAAAAATTGATACCCACATCCCATAAGTGAGTTTAAAAAAACCAAGCTTGTCAGTTAATATCTACTTTTCTGTCTTATTCAACTTTAAAATAGTATTGGACACAGCCTCCTCTGCCTCAAATAGAATATAAAATTCTGAATATTATTACTACTGCTACCTAGTGACAAGTGCACTCCGAGTTAATCCCATCGCATTGAACAGCACTAGGTCTAGTATAGCCGGTCCTGAGGTTGGGTCCAGAACATGTCATTCTAAATAAAAAGCAAGAATTCCGATTTACGAACAGTCGTATTTACAAATACAATCCTATACATTGTTGCAATTTTGAAAACCCAACATAGGAATATTCAAGCTTCAAAATCTCCCCTCCCCCTACCACATCCCAAAACCAGCCCAGCTTGTCCCCGCCTCCCTAACCTGTCCTTCCTCCCACCTATCCCCTCCTCCCACCTCAAGCCCCACCCCCATCTCCTACCTACTAACCTCATCCCGCCCCCTTGACCTGTCCGTCCTCCCTGGACTGACCTATCCCCTCCCTAACTCCCTACCTACACTCACCTTTACTGGCTCCATCCCCGCCTCTTTGACCTGTCTGTCTCCTCTCCACCTATCTTCTCACCGCCTCCCCCTCTCTTCCTATTTATTTCAGAACCCCCTTCCCCTCCACCATTTCTGAAGAAGGGTCTAGGCCCGAAACGTCAGCCTTCCTGCTCCTCTGATGCTGCTTGGCCTGCTGTGTTCATCCAGCTCTACACCTTGGTATCATACGAATATTCTGCATTTACGAACAGCTGCCTTCCATTGTCCTGCAAAGGGTTTCAACTTGTATGCAAATCAACTTGTGAACAGCCTCTAGAACAGATCCCATTTGCGACCCAGGGACTGCCTATATCCTGAAAGCATTCTATAACTTCATCATTTGACCATCTTTTTCCAGTCAATGTAAACTAAAATCATCCATGATTATCAATGTACCATTCTGATTAGTCCTCTTTTTTTTTCAGAATCTTACTGGGTGGTTGTTGTTAGGAGACCTGCACACAACTTCCCACTAGGGAGGCATCTTAATCATTTCTCAAGTCTATCCACACTGCTTCTACATCCAAACAAGACATTAATTGCTGCATAAAATTCACCATCTGAATGCAACACGAAGGGATAAAGAAAGTCAAATAGGATGAAGAACAACCCAGCTACACACAGTCGAAGAAAACATAACATGAAGGCAGAAATCAGGATCTAAAGTTGTTGAATTCAAATGTTCAATCCAGAGGACAGTTGAGTGCCAAGTCTACAAGTGTAATATTTCCTGTGCTTCCATTGTTGAGTTTTACTAGAACACTGTAGCAGACCAGTGACAGTGGTCAGCATAGGATCAACATGGAGAATTAAAGTGACAAGCAATCAGAAGCTCGAAGTCACGGATGGTTTTTAAAGTTAGCAATTTGCACCTTATTTGGACAGAACCACAGTTTCTTCAAAATATCCATTGTCATCACTTTCGGTTATTGCATCATGAAATAATATAGCCCCTAATCTCAATACCAACGATCTGTTCCCTTGTTATTCCTGCTCCCAACATTCGTCCAACCCTTCCAACAGCTTAAAACTCATTTCTTTCATTCTGATAAAAGATCAACCTGCATCAGCACAGAAGCTAACACTGTTGAGTTTTTTTTAAAAAAGGCTTTTTTGTTCTTTTTTCAGACTTTCAGCATCCACAGCATTTCGCTTTTCTAGTAATCTGAAGTACAACAAAGAGAATTGGAGGTCAAACAATGAATGCAACTAAGTACTCAAAGCCACATCCAACAACACACCTAAAAGAACAAGATCATTCAGCAAAACAAAAGTGAGAACTAATGTTAACACTCCTTGCTCATCACAACCTGCTCCTAGATTTTCAACTTTTGTGCATGACCAAGCTCTGGACAAGATCAAAAAATCCTGAAGAAGGGTCTAGACCCGAAACGTCAGCTTTCCTGCTCCTCTGATGCTGCTTGGCCTGCTGTGTTCATCCAGCTCTACACCTTGTTATCTCAGATTCTCCAGCATCTGCAGTTCCTACTATCTCTCTCCCACTTCGAATGAGATCACAGCAAATGCTATAAAACAATCCCTCTCTCTTTGGCAACAATGCAACTTCAAATTTGAATCCAGGATCAGTAATTGTGCAGAACATGGAAAACGCACACCTAATTTTAATTCAAGTACTAAAGGACTCTGAGAAACCTTATTGGAATATGAAAGAAATTTTGACACTGAGAAAACATTTCCTCTTGTAGGTGAATTCAGAGCCAGGAAACATTTAAAATCAGGGATCACCTTATTAGGACAGAGCCGACTGGATTTTTTACCTCTCTGACGTTTGAGAGGCTTTAAAATGCGGTCTTGGACAGAAGGTGGATAATTCTTTTCAGTCAGTCAATTATTCAAAAAGGTTTAAAAAAAAGTTTAATTGGGTATAGATGGGAAAAAGAATTTCAAAGCAAAAGTTTAGCCATGACTTCATTGAATGGAACAGAATTTGCACGTTCATTGTAAGACACTGTAAATAAAAAATCAAAATTAGGGAGGGATCTGACAGAGTATAAAGGTTTTTAAAATTGAGGAGTTACAGACAACAGTGACAAGAAACTGAATTTTTCACAACTTAGAAAAATGCAGAACACAATTCTAAATGTAAGTATTTTTTCATCCAGTAATTTTCTGCACCACCCAAATGTATTTCAAAACTGGGCTACTGGCGACCCAAGCATATAATTATGTTAAACTGCACTAGCTACAATGGCTTGCTGTTTTTTTTTGCAGTTTCTAAATTTATTCACGAAGTCGCACTGATTACAAAACCCCAGAATATTTAATTATAAGTTCATTACCTCACTGGAGTTAGGTGAAGCAGTTGATAGTTAGATCTGTACTTAAAATACAGTACGACCAGCGAGAGGGTTCCTTTTAAAAAAAAGTTACCTTTCAATACGAATTCGATTTTTTTTCAATCAAACTGGTTTATGGCAGTGTTCGTGGGCTCGAACCTCTAATTCTATTTCATTTCCTTCTGCACTTTTCCTTCACTTAGTTGACCCTCAACTGCGTTTCTCTAATTTTCTACTAATTTGCCGCATGCGATCCGGAATTCCAGGGTTACACCACTCCCGGGATTCTGCTGAATTCCCTATTGAAATATTCGCTATGGCCACGACCCCTCTTTTCGGTTTCAATCTATAGAGACGTACCATCTAGGTACGAAAACACTTGTTGCAATGAGAACCATACCTCTACCTCACGTCCACAAATTCGGAACACGGAAATACACAATAATTAAATGGCATAAAAGTTCGTTACCTGTTTACACAAGGCAATAATTCTCCAGTGGAGGGGGAAAGAGGAGGGAAAGAGGAAAGAAAATGTTTCAATTTCACAGCCAGGTTTAACAATGTGCACATTGACTGACGATCAATGCAACGAAGAGAGCCAAAATATATATATATTTTTTTAAAAAAGCCAATCTTTTGCAGTGCTGCACTAAAGTGTCCCCGGATGAATGAGTGAGTGAACAGCGTAACTTGCACAAGAAGTATAACATCTGAGTGTCGCAGACCGGGCCCGGCACTGCGCAAGCGTCACGACTTCCAGCCGGGCCCGGGTACGCACATGCACACTGGTACACAGTGACAGGCTGCGTGCGCGTCTCACTCGGAAACTATGGTAACCGGGCCTAGCCCCGGACCGTACTCAACTAACAGCCAACGGCGGCGATTGTTGTGGTTCGCCTCCCCGCCCCTTTCAACAACTGCCCTTACATCGGTCTGACATCTCTCGCCTGAGGCAGCCGGCTCCTCCTCATCCACTCCAGCGCCGGTGATTTTATCACCACATTGCGACTACATTTGAAATTGTATGAACATTACAGTCTTTCCTCCTTTTCTCACGGTTTTATTTGAAGCAGGTCAACGCCGGCGCCTTCATCCAAAGCGGAAGCCAATTGGTCAAGACCGGCAGTCGGCACGCCAAGTAGTAAACCCAACGCTGATTGGCTTAGCTGGTGCGTAGTCATCTGCCCCGCCCCAGGGCCCGATGTCCCCGCCCCTTTACCGCTGGTCACGTGGTGTAACGCTTGTGGCAGTTTTTGCCTAGCATCAGGACAACATAGCAAGAATGCCAATCTGAAGGGAATAGCAATTTCCATTGCATGTTTCACTCTGTTAATAACTGAGATTAAGTGTTAAGCTCACTACCTTAATTCCAGGGAAAAAGTTGGGTTCATTAGTTTAATTCCAGAGGCGGAAGATGGGATCCACTGGTTAGGCATTGTCGAACAAGGGGGGCATAGTCCGAGAATTAGGATGAGACGATTCAGAAAAGATTTTATTAGTACTTCTGTAGTAGATGTTAGGAAGTTTGTAAGATTCTACATACGTTGCTGAGAAAGTTTAGGTTTACTTGATTAATTCCAGCGATGAAAGCAAATTCAGAAGTTGCTGGAAAAGCTCAGCAGGTCTGGCAGCATCTGTGAATAAAAAATCCGAGTTAATGTCCCTGCCTCAGAACTGAATCCTAACTCTGATTTTTTCTTCACAAATTTTGTCAGACCTGCTGAGTTTTTCTAGCAACTTTGTAGGTTACGTGGAACAATTCCTCTTCCGTACCTACACTGGCCCTAAACCCCACCTCTTCCTCCGTTACATTGATGACTGTATCGGCGCTGTCTCGTGCTCCCACGAGGAGCTCGAACAGTTCATCCACTTCACCAACACCTTCCACCCCAACCTTAAGTTCACCTGGACCATCTCTAATATCTCTCTCTCCTTCCTGGACCTTTCTGTCTCCATCTTGGGCAACCACCTAGAAACCGATATCCATTTCAAGCCCACCAACTAAATCGTAATCTCTTTTCCAGCAACTTCTGTTTTTGTTCCTGATTTACAGCATCCACAGTTCGTTTGTTTTTTATCCAGAGATGAATAGCTTGTTTTAAGAGGAGAAATTGAGAGATTTCAGCCTTTATTGCATAGAGCTTAGAGGGATGAGAGAAGATCCATTTTTAGGACATAAGATGCTTAAGGGAATTGACAAAGTAGACGTAGAGAGGATGTTTCCCCTTGTGGGACAATATAGAACAAAGTGTTTCAGGGATAGTAGGAACTGCAGATGCTGGAGAATCTGAGATAACAAGGTGTAGAGCTGATGAACACAGCAGGCCAAGCAGCATCAGAGGAGCAGGAAGGCTGACGTTTCGGGCCTAGACCCTTCTTCATTTTCTGAAGAAGGGTCTAGGCCGGAAACGTCAGCTTTCCTGCTTCTCTGATGCTGTTTGGCCTGCTGTGTTCATCCAGCTCTACACCTTGTTATCATAGAACAAAGGGTCACAGTTTTAGGATAAGGTAAGGTATATTTAAA